CTTTAGCCTACGGGGAGCTGTCCAGGTGCTGACTGCCATTGAGCCCCTCCAGCCTCCTGCTGCAGTTTCTTTCTTCCTCCACGCCGCCCGCCCCCCCACCTGCTTCTCCCCACCCCCCACCCTCCCACCCCAGTCCAACATAGTCTACTTCACCCAGGGCCTTTATTTGAGATTATTCCTTGTAGCTTTCTCCGTAACCAAAATTGAGAGACATCTTCATTCTGCGGGTGGGCTCCCCTGACCCTGAAACTGTTTTAGAAGCAATCATCCAGTTACCAAGGGGACGACGCAGGAGAGCAGAAGCTGAACAGCTGGCCTGTGTGCAAGCAGGGAGCACGGTGCAGAGAACATGGGGAACAGTCGTGCTGGGAACAAGACTGGCTGTGGCAGTCACCAGGTGGGAATGCAGGCGGCAATGTCTTCACCTCGGTTCCACAGGATGCTGCCTCGAGAACAAGGGAGAGCGTGTTCCCATGCAAGAAAGGAAATCACTTCTTTTCCTACTGAGCCTGGAGCCTCAGCAAGGCACTTACTGGGCTGCAGGAAGAAGAGGGGTGGGTGGCTGGGAGGGAGCATGGAGAACAGCTTAAACTGGCTGATAGAAAAATGGAGGGATGTGACGAGGTCTGAAATAATAGGGGGCAAGGGAGAATATACCAGTATCTCTGTAGAACACCTGTCATGCCCAGCCCAGCAAAGTTAAATGCAGGAGGAAAAGGGAGTCACTCACAGAGCAGACTCTATAGGCAAGAAGAAGGAGTTGCTCTCCAGATCTTTTCTTCTTCTTCTTCTTCTTCTTCTTCTTCTTCTTCTTCTTCTTCTTCTCCTCCTCCTCCTCCTCCTCCTCCTCCTCCTCCTCCTTCTCCTTCTCCTCCTCCTCCTATTCTCTCTCTCCTTCTCCTCCTCCTCCTCCTTGTTCTTCTTCTCCTTCTTGTTCTTCTTCCTCCTGTAGTTTTAGGATGACCTCAAATTTACTATGTGCCCGAGGATGACCTTGAACTCCTAAACTGATCTTCCTTCCTCCACCCCCTCGGTGGTTGGATTGTTGATATTCACCATTACACCTGATTTGGGTGGTGCTAGAAACCAAAGTCAGGACTGTGCATGCCAGGCAAGCACTCTGCCAGCTGGGCCACATCACCAGCCCTAGCCCTGTCGGTCTTCCCTGCTTGCCTAGTCTGCTCTGTGTGGCTCAGAACAGCTCCCTGACTCTCCCATTATCATCAGCTCTTGGGGCCAAGGGCCTTGTCTCGAAGAGTAGTCTGAAGAGTTTGGCTTTTGCTCTCACCTTCAGCACGGGTAAACAGAGCCTGATCTTGCCATTTCCCTTTGGGTACTGGAATCTGGCTCCCTCTGGGGAAGTTTACCTCATTACCTCATTTACCTCATCCAGTTCCCCACAGGCAGTGGTGATGTCTGAGCTGGTAGTCTTGCTTTAAGAATCAACTATGCTAACACAGAGAACACTTTTAGTAATGACAGGGATTTATAATGTTAACACTCAATCAGCCCTCCATGGGGGCAGCTAGTCATCACACTCAACTCCTGCCTGATGCACTGTTCCACCTCCACCGGGCCATTTTCCCTCTCCTCTTCTCCACATACAGAGACATACCTATGTGTCACCAAATCACAAAAATACGAACTTGGCCTGGATCTGAAGAGAAGTGCTGATCCCCTTGGTCCTGGACACACACACACACACACACACACACACACACACACACAGGGTGCTGCCACCTGTCTGTCACTGATAGGTTCACATCTGTGGGGACCACCACTGGGACCTAGAGTTTGGGTTCCCAGCCCAGTTCCTTGTTGCTCACTGTGTAGCAATCAGCTCACAAGCAAGGCGGAGGCACCAGCAAACACTCTGTGGAGAGTAACAACCAGCTGGTCTTTCCTAGCCCATGGCAGATGTCTATCAAAAGTCATCCAGAAAGTTCTACTGTTCAGTTATCACGTACAGGAACTCTGGTCACAGAAGACATCACATCTCCCCTCTCCATGATCCCAAAAGGCAGAGAGAATCGGCTGACAAAGTAGACGCTGAAAGTGGCACCTGTCAGCATCTCCCCCTCCCTAGGTCAGGAGGAAACTGTCAGGAAGCTCCCCTCCCCTGTCCCCCCAGACACAACTGGGCATATTCTTCCACATGTATGCAGAGCTCACTCGGCAAGGCCACCACGCATGCGTAGAGAGTGGCAGCGTGTTCCTAATTAAGACTTAAGGTGCGGAAGCTCAGACTAGCTCAACTTGGCTGTGGATTCAGAGAAAGCGCGTGTTTCATGAAACTCCTCGCCCAACAGGGAATCCATGAATTATTGAAAGGATCGAAAAAAGGAGAGCCAGGGAGGGAGATCTGCTCCATTATTCATCAGGCCCGGAGTCCCCACATCCCCAAGCACAGCTGCTGGCTTTCACACCTACACCATTTCCCCATTATTTCGACAGGAGCGTTTCCAGCCCGCTATATTGGCAGCCTCAGAGCAGGCTGCCTTCAAGGCGTGTCCTCATCTGCAGCCAGCCCTGCAGAGCTGTAGCTAGGGATGGAGGCTGTCTCCCTTTCCACTCCGGTCCCAGCTCTGGGGTCCTTCAGCCTTTGGGAGCACCTTAGAGAACCAGAGGGGCTTTTCCACAGTCCCTGTCTGCCTAAGCAGCGGTAGCTTCCGTGTTAGCCACGCCCACCCCGCCCTAGCTCATTTGCATTTCAGACCTGAGTCAGCTGTCACTCAGACCTTGGTCCAGATTCCCCCTGCTCCAAACTCCCTCTCAGTCCCGTGCCTAGTGTTGAAATGCTCTTCACCCCTACATGTCCAGATCTCAGGACCCGGAAGTAACTTTCATATGGACCATGTCAGGTGTCACGCCCCTTCACCCACAAGGACTCAGAAGCATCCCAGGGGCCCAGGGCGAGATTCTCACCAGTTGGAGCTGCACGGGGAGGAGGGAGCCTGCGCAAAAAACTGACAGAGCCTCTCCGCCAAAATAATTAAGAATTACGAGATGGGAAAACTTGTCAGTAAATACAACAAACAGCCTTCCTAAGAAAGGCTGTGCAATTGCCCAAGCCATACTCTGATTATACAGAAGTGAACCTCAGAGAGGCTAACCAATTTGTCTGAGGTAACACAGCTAGTTAGGTGGCAGAGACAGGTTGAAGACCCCTTTCTAACGAGCCCACATCCTTTCTCTCTCCACCACTTAAGTCTGGGGCACATTGCCTTGAGCAGAAGGACTGAGGAGAAAGCCATGAGCATCCCCAGAAAATGCCCTTTGTAAAGAGTTTCATTGGAAAAAGAAAAAGTTGGCCATGGTGGCACACGCCTTTAATCCCAGCACAGTGGCAGAGGCAGGCGGATCTCTGTGAGTTCGAGGTCAGTGTGTAGCGCTTGCTGTTCTGACACTCGCTCTATAGACCAGGCTGGCCTCAAACTCAGATCTTCAAGGTCTTTTCATGGCACGGGTCCACCACACCTGCAGTTTAGTTTGTTTAGTGGTAATCTCTTTGGCAGCTTTAGTCTCTGGCAAATTTATCCAACTTTTAGTCATTCGTTCAACAAACATCTCCCTTGCCCCTGCTACACCCCAAGCCTTCTGCCTAAACCCGCTCATAGTATAACTAAGGAGCCTGCCAGTCAATTTAGCATTGCCACACTGACTAGTTCTGGGCCCAGAGAAGGGGGAGAGATGAATCCATAGACCACAGGGAATGAGGTGCCCTTCATATATGGTAGTGTCCACCCATGGTGTCCGAATCAGGTGACCTTAGCCACATAGGGCTTCCATTACGGCGTGCCTTACAGTCTGGTGCAAATGTGTTTACTGCTGATGGCTTAGTGTCTTGACCAAACTAATACGTGTTTGGGCCAAGGAGACAGCTGATTGGGTAAGATAGTCCTGACACATGGGAGACAGCAACAGGAGAATCCCTGGGGCTTGCTAGCCAAGCCTAATCAGGGTCCCAGTAAGAGACCAAACACACACACACTCACACACTCACATATATGCACGCACACACACACACATACACACACACTCACATATATGCACACACACACACACACACACACACACACACACACGAGAACCTTCCCCATCTTGACCCACTTCGTTGCCTGTAGGAATTTGACAGAGCTGCCGCTGGGAGCTCCCTGTGGCCTGCCTGGTCAAGCCTCCAAGCCTGCAGAGCATCCTCCCAGCTTGCAGCAAATACCACTGTGTGTAAGGTTCACAAACGTGTGGACAAAGGTATCCGCTGCCGTTTCAGAGAACTGAAGATGGGCAGGTGTTCCAGCCAGAAAGCAAATTCTAGCATTTTCCAAGCCAACTTGGCTGGATAGCCCTCACCACACCGTGGCTCCAGCTGCAAACTGTCTAGGGACCCATAAGCCTGTAAAATTAAGTTTGACAGTGCCTGGCATAACCCTGGAAGCCATGTATTCCCCCTTAACAATTTAGAGAAGGAGAAAGTTCTTATCGTCAGAGTCAGGAAGCTGTGAGCTGCAAACCCGGTTGTGTGGCTTGCCTTCAGGCACACACACACACCTTGGGTCTGAGCCTCTGCGTTAGCATCCGTGAAATGGGACTGTTGTGAAGTCAGATGGCTGAAGACCTGAAAAGCGCTTTGACTAGTGCCTGACCCTCTGGACCCAATAAACAACTGACTGGCGCTGGAGTGTTCTCGTCACCATCGGTCGCAGCTGGAGTGTTCTCGTTGCCATCAGTCGCAGTAGCTGGCACAGAAGGTGGGTCTGACTCAAGGCAGGTGTTCTTAATCCGGAAAGCATCCCCTGTTTCACGACAAACCCCCCCCCACACGCGCCCGCCCAAACTCTTCACCTAAAACCTCCACGAGGGTGCTTCCCCACAGCAAGGGTTCTCCCTTCGGTGGAAGACAGCATCCTTCAGTACCAAAACCCACCCACTACTGACAGCATAGGGCGGGCAGGCCCCGCCCAAGCCCCGCCCCAGACCCCGCCCTCTTCGAGTCCCGGGCTCAGCGGCGGCCACTGCCAGGGTCGCTGGCGCAGAGCGGCTCCGGCGGACTGGACGGGGCGGGTGCTCGGCAGGCAACGCACTACGTTCTACCTTACACCGCTCCACCGCGAGCAGCCCGCTAGGGACCTTCCACTCGAGTCTGGGGACGTGGCCGCGAGGTAAGAGCCAAGCTGAGCAAGAGGGATAGACTCTCGCCTTGTCGGGTGTCCGGGAAGCGACATCTCCAGTGGTGCCACCGCCACTGTGTCGGACTGGCCTCGTTACTGAGTAGCCAGGGGAAGGGTGGGGCGAGCACCGTGTGTGTGTGTGTGTGTGTGTGTGTGTGTGTGTGTGTGTGTGTGTGTGTTGATGATGATGATGATGATACCCTCCTCTTTGCAGACGCTTCCGAACAATTCACCCACTCCAAAGCCAAAGCCACACTTTTCCACCACAGACTTGAGCCAAACTGAAAGAAATGACCTGGTTGCGGGAAGGGAAAGCCCACTGCCACCTGTTGAGCCGGGCTGCGGGTCTCTAAGGGCCAAACTCCCCAGGCCGTCGGTCTGTGATTGGACTCACTTCCCAGGGGTCTTGGCCATTGGCAAGTTACCTGTCCATCACAGGACATCTGGTCTACCTATATTACACTCATCCTGCCTGCCCTGGGCGACAGAAGGATACCTGGGGAGGATTGGTAGCTGGAAGCTTTGCTGAAAGCCCCAGAGCTGGTAAAGACCTATGGTGGAGCTTAGGACATGGGGATTCCCCCTATACTTTGAGATACCAATGCCCAGGAGCACCCCCTATTTCCCTCACACACACACTCCAAAGCGCTCCTTTAATGACTCCATCTCTTTACCGGAATCCTCTCTTGGCAATTGATGAAGCTGCCACACGTTAACAGCTTTCACGTGAAATTAACCCTAGGGTTGCCAGGGATTAGAAACCATACTGAGTGCCTGGCTGAGAAGCCCTGCCATTGCTGAGGGAATCCCCTCTCAAGACTGGCTCCCAGGGTGCTTAGGAATGATCGTCTTTGTGTGTGGGCTTCCCATATTCCCACCCCAGCTACCCACCTTCTTATGACACAGAAGGCAAGAATCTCAACCATTCCCAGTCTGGAGGCATCAGAGTTTCGTGACCCCGCTGGGGGTTTAGGGCAGACATGGTAGCTGAACTGTTCACATACAGCTGGGCGAGGCCATCCTTAGTCTGTGATAGAAAGCGTGGACTCCAAGTCCAGTTGCTCGGCCCCTGACAGTGTGGCATTAGGTAAGTCACAGAACCTCTTGGGGTCTCCGTTTCCTCCTCTTGCATATAAAGCCAGGCTGGCAGTCGGGAGAACAAAGTGAGGTCTCTGATGACCGTATCCATTCACAGAAGAGTCTGGAACTGCCTCGGCTTCCTCACAGACTGGACTTGACCACGGGGCCACGTAGTGAGGTTACCCCATTAGTGCTCTGAGTGGGAGGGTGTGCCGTGACAGTTGCAGCTTGAGCACTCAGAGTGAGTTTAGATTCCCAGAGTAGAGGATAAAGGAGCTTTAGCTATGGATCCCTGCCTCTAGAGGGCGCTATCACCACCTCCCCAGGCTTCTGGTCCATTCACTGCAGACTCCTGGGTCACTGCCAGCTGCTCCTTTCCCATGCGCTTGTCTGTCATCCCATCCTGAGTTTGGTGTCAGCCTTACATGTTGGCAGAACCGGGGACAACTACATGTGATTTAGAGTCACCAATAAAGCCCCTCCTTCACCAAATATCCATTTCTCCCCAAGCACACCTGTCTGGTCTCTAATATTCCACCATGAGGGATTCCTCCCTTTGGTCCACTGCCTTGTAGCCCATGTCCGTTACTAAACCTTCACAGCAACGGCTTGTTTAGAAACATTCAGGACCTTAAAGACCAGAGGGTGAGGACAGAAGAACAGAAAGGGAAAGAGGTGGGGGTGCAGGAGAGAAAGGATGGGACTTTGCCAACCTTGGGGCCCCTAGAAATAGACCCAGTAGCCTGGGAGGAAGGGCTGGGCAGGCAGGTGAAGGACTGTACCTCAGCTGGGATTCTCTTTGGGAATAGGAGATGGCTCCTGTTGAGGAAGCCCTGGTAGGCGGTGCTGACTGGGGGTGAGATGCAAGGCCTTGTGGGAGACAAGGAAGCCCCAAAGCAAAGCCTCAGCCAGCCAGCCATTCAGCAAGCCCCAGCCCCAAAGGCAGCGACATAGTCTTCTTGGAATCTGGAGCCTAGGCAGTGGCTCTGGCTGTTTAGTTCGTTAAGGCAGCAGAGTAAGGACACCAAGGGAACTTTCAACACTCGTGCCTTCCTGACACACACACACACCCTCTGCCCATTGTGCCACCTCTCTGGAGAGAAGCAGAAGCAGAATAGTTCACCCACACCCTGGAGGGACAGAGGGACTCCACTGGAGCCATTCTGATGGTTTGTGGGGTCCTGAGTGTACCAGTGTGGGGCGTGCTGGAGAGCTGGGGGAGGTCCCTGCTGAGAGAGCCCATGCCAGCCTCATAGGGGATGGGTGGATGAGCATCACTTGACTCTGTACACACCATGTCCCGTCACCATTGACCAGTCCTGGCTTGTGGTATCCAAAGATGAGTGTTTGCAGCTATCCTAGGTGCTCCCGAAGGCAGAGGTGCAACCAGAAAGGAGACACAATGGATGGACCACTGATACATCTTAATGGCCTTGCATTCCCAATGGATGTCTTTTTGTTTGTTTTGTTTTGTTGGTGTTTTTTCTAATAAAGCTCCATGTCTCCTGTATCTCAGGCTGGTCTTAAACTCTCCACGTAGCTGTGGATGACCTTGAACTCCTCATCCTATCTCTAGTTCTCAAATACTGGGGTTATAGCCTTGGGCCACCATGCCTGGTTTATGCCATGCTAGGGACAAAGCTCAGGACCCTGCACATGGTAGGCAAGCACATTTCCAACTGAGCTGAGCTACAAGCCCAGCCCAAGGCACAACCATTCGTATACATAATGTTGATGGGGGCAGTGTGTCTTTATTCCCCATATGAGTGCCTCTCACTGAGCACGAGGGTGCTTGTGCCAACCCCTGAGCTAAACTTCAAGGCTCTGGGAGATGGGTATTCTAGTGTTTGTTGGCAATAAGGCTGACCTGTGTGTTGTAGGATGTCCCCACTCTCCACCTGGATACCAGGAGCGCCCTCAGTTACACAGTTACACACCTGACTGTCCTCAGACATTGCCTGGTCCTCCCCAGGGAGCAAGGCAGCCTGCAGTTAAGAATCACTGGGGAATCAGCTAAGAATAAACCAGGAAAAAAAAAAACCAGTCCCATTCCCTGAGGAGCAGCATTATGCGAAAGCAGCAAAAAGCAGTCAGCAGCGAGGTGAAAGTTATGGCAAGACGGGGTGAGGGTGAGGGTGAAGGTGTGAGAGGTGGGGCTGCCGTTTTCGAAAGGGGACTCAGGAAAGGCCTGCCTGAGTAGGTGAATTTCCGAAGGGCCGGGAAGAGCAAGATGTGCAGAAATCTCAGGACCTACCTGTCAAGCAGCCGCAGTGGGGGGTGGGGGGGGCTAAGGAGGCGGTGGCTGGGACTTGGGGGGAGCTAAGGAGGGGGTGGCTGGGACTCGGAGGGAGCTAAGGAGGGGGTGGCTGGGGCTCAGGGGGAGCTAAGGAGGGGTGGCTGGGGCTCAGGGGGAGCTAAGGAGGGGGTGGCTGGGTCTCAGGGGAGCTAAGGAGGACATGGCTGGGGCTGGGTGGTGGGGATGGGGTTAGGGGCAGCCGCCTGGAGTCTGGTAGTTCTTTCTCTGTGGACTTGGTGCTTTTGCTCTGGGCACACTCACAGCCTGCTAGGTGCCAGCGCCATCTTGACAGCCATTAGCTAACACTGACAGAGAGGTAAGCACCGTTTCTTCACCTGGTCTTGTGAAGAGTGGGGTCCAGAAGGGTGGAGGAACTTGAAGGTGCAGCGGGGCCGTGAACATGGACACACACAGACAGCCCATACTCTTGTCTCCTGCCACACTGTACTTGGGGGCTGTGCAGTTGGAATTTGCTCTATCCCTAAGCTCCAGCCCCTTACTAAAATCTCCCGGGGCCCGTGTTCTCTGAGGATGGTGCCCCACTACATGCTGGTGCTCACTGGGGATGGTTTACTCATATGCCCCGTGCCTGTCACCGTGGACCAGCCAGGGACTAGGAGTAAGCGGCACCTCCTGTTCCTAGACAAATCGCTTGCTCTTGACTTTGTGTGCAGTAACTGAACCATGTCAAGGTTATCTGCTGAGGTTGAGCCCAGTATCCCAGGAGGTCAAGGGACATGAGCCCAAGACTCAGAGGTGCAAGACAAAGCTGTGTTATGTGAGCCAGTGTCTCTCCAGGCCCTTGGGGTTGGCTTGCCATCTCTCTCCACTGCTGCTGGCCTGGCCTCCCCTGGACTCAAAATTAAATGTCCCACAGTGGAGCAGAGTTCTGAGAGCATGTCCCTCCCCAAGACTCTGTTGTCCCATGCGGAAGTCACAGTCAGCGTCTCAGTCTCAATTAGGCCCTTATTTGTTGAATATATGGGAAGCAATGTCCTTCTTAAAAATAGAGGTTGAAAAAAAAATAGCTCAGAACTGGGGAAAGGGAAGCAGCTCTCAGTGGCTACAAACGAATGGCCTCTCTGGTTGCTGACGCTCTGAAACCATTGATGGTTTTCCCTGCCCACAGATCCCTGGGTGAAGAAACAAGCAGAGTAGAGGAAGATGCTGCTGGTGCCTGGGAAATAGGCATCTGCCAGCCTGCTTGAGGGGCACCCAAGCTAAGGAATTCACCTCCCCGCATGCTGCAGTGAGGGCTACAGATGATCATGAGAAATACCCTTGACTTTGGTGGAAAACCAGGGTTATAGAGTTGCCTGTATCCTCTGGCCTGCAATGTCCTTTCCAGGGATGGACTGCATAAGCGAGGGTCCCTGGTGGTTCCATTAAGGGGAGGGAGTGTAGAATGGTGTACCCTGGGCGCTAACACCAGGTTCAAAGTCTGATAAGTGTCCTGTCTGTCTACTCAGCCTTTGGGGATGCTCCTAACTGCTATATCAGTGACCACACTGTCCCTTGTGAATGCAAACCTCGGCAGTCAATCATGGGCCCCTCCCCCACCATCTGTGTATTGCCACGTGGCAATGGCTTACTGGGTAAAGTTCCGGTGTCTGTC